AACAAACGTGTCTATAGAGAATTAAAATTGCCTCTGCGTACAAAATAAAAAATACACAGGCACAGTGCACCAACAAAATGGCGAACGTATCCCTCATTTATAATATTAGAAGTTTAAAGTAATGTCAGAGCACGCTTTATAAATACTACAGCGCTTGTCTGAAAGACTAAAATATCGACTGCACTCGAATCGTACATTATTCAGGCGATCTGTGTACAGTCGCCGCCAATATCCTAGTAAGATATTCGCGAAGCCTTTTGGAATTCTTATGAGGGAATTCAAAAACGTATGGTAAAGACCAGAAAATTAAAATAATAAAGCTATTTTTTTTTTGACATTTGTAAAAGTAAGAATTTAAGAAAAATTATGACGAACTTTCATATTTTTATTAAGTTTTAAAAAAATCGACGATGACGTGTAGGACTCGGTAGCTCAATTGGTTCGACGGTTAGAGCAACAGCACGGAACGCTATGGATCCGGATTCAAGCCCGCGTCGTAATTTTTTTCATTTTATAATCGATTTTTAGACCATGATCTGCCTCGAACTGCCTCATTGAAGTAGTAGTTAGTGTACTACTGTAGATCACGAAGTACAAGGTTCGAATTGTGATTCTGATAACGTCATTTGGGTATTTTTTTCTAAGAAATTTGCTTAAACTAACTCTAGTTTATGCAAATTTCTTAGCAAATTTCAGGTCTAAACTCTTAGATCTGAAATTTTGAAGTATCACTTCTGTACCTTGGAGAGCACATACGTGTCGGTCCTACTCACTAATATAAAGGCACTAGTCGTAAAAGCTCGCTAACCCGCACTGAGACAGCGTGGTAAGTCTATACTCTGACTTTTGACATGCGAGAGAAGACCTATTCCGAGCAGTGGCACATTCAAAGGTTGAAACCAATACAATAAAAAAACGTAAAGAAGGATATAAGTATGTGTATGGATGGATATTTGGTGATTAACGCTAGACAGGGATTTATCTATTTTTACTGTCTATTATATAACCCAAGACGTATTATTTTCTTCCAAAAATAAATATAACCGCTTTGAAAAAAGCCTTATTTTCAATACTGTACATTTAACGCGTAATTTTTAAGTATAATAGGTATAAAAAAAAACAAACTTAATAAGAATTTTTGTGTCATAAACAATAAAATATATAATGTTTTCTCTACGCAACTGTACTCGGCTCACACAGCACGGATACTTTGTTCGCATGCAGCGATCTTATTCTCGTATTCTTCGGAAAACGTTACAATTGTTCTACATTTGACTGAGTGGTACTCCTTTTAACCTTTAGCCTCTTATGAAGTCCTGGTACTTAAAACTACCTGGCTTATTATCACTATGTTAAGAGAAATAGGTCGGGAAGAACGAAAAAATAGTTCGCGATGGTCAGATCATAGTACCGCTCTCTTACGCGAACGGTTAAAGCGTAACTTCGTGGAATATTTATTATTGATAAGATTAGCTATATAGGTCAAGTGGTAATAGACTTTCAACTCGGAGGTTGTAGATTCAATTTAGTTTCGAAGTAATAGATTTTTAAAATTGTAGTAGTCATTTTGCAAAATACTAAGGAAACTGGCATATTCTATAAGATTTACAAACATTAATATTGTCTGTAGTTTACATGAGGTTATATAAAACAACTTAAACGCGAAATACATGACTTAATTTCTTTATAATATATTTTCAATGGAATGTCGGGCCGTAGTTAAATAATTTGTTAACAAGTTTAGCTAATATATTTTGCGATTTATACCGTTGTAGTGTCTCGTTTAAGTTTGTATTACTCGCGTCAACTACAAACAGCATTTACTCCTGATATGTTAGTTAATTGTGGGCGAGTGTATTCCAATTTTGAGCTTTATAGCTGAAGAGTTTGTTTGTTTGTTTGAACGCGCTAATATCAGGAACTACTGCTTCGAATTGAAAAAATCTTTTTGTGTAAGTTAAACGACGTTGTGGATAACAGCGATAGTTTATAAAGATGTGGAGAAGATTTGCAAAAACAAATTTAGATGTCCAAAATAACTATACAACGCGGATGTAGTCGCTGACACAGCTAGTATAATTTATATATATATATATATATTATACGAGCTTAAATTACCTAATATATATATTAGGTAATTTTTACTTCTTTAATAGCGTACGTATTACAGTCGTATGGTCTACGGGCAATGATAAAATTTCTATTCTATAAAATTAATGTTACAAATATCTCAGGCCGTGCGGTCAGCCCGACGCTAGTTAATGTGAATCAAATGTGCAGAAAAGTAAAGCATTTCTAAATGGGAACTATGTTAATGTTGGTGCGGTCGAATATTATTGTCGTCGCACATGTGGGCACAGTAGCGTCCAGGGCACAAGCGGTCGCGACGCGTTTAAGCATACGCCATAAGTCAAATTGTTACTAACCAATTAAAAAAAAAACAATTTGAAAAATTTAGTATTCCTTTAACAACTTTTTCGGGATAAATCGAACTTACTCTAATGATACTACGACTAAGCAGTTGCCGGCAATACTTGTATTAAAACGTACACATTTAAATAATTAAATAACACTTTAACGGTTTAAAACACATTATTTGCGGTACACAAAAAGGAATTATTTTCTACTATGAAACATGGCGACCACAGGCGACAGAAAGGTTTCATTTAAATTTGAAACTGGCGTGGATATAACTGTGTAGTGAAGAAAATAAGACAAAATTTACTGAACTGACTAAATAAAGAATACATTTACATTTATTAGTCGTGTTATTCATTCTTAAAGCAAATCTTTAGCTAGAAAATTGCGGGCGATGCAAAAGTTACTATTTTTATTTTAAGTAAATCTCTATTTTGATCTCTACTTGCAAGTTTCTACTTTACTACACACCTATTTTTAATTTCCTTACAGTATATATAAAAGAAATTGTGAACAAAAGTTATTAGTATTTTTCTTTTCAACATGCACCTTACAATATTGTAATAGTGCATTTATATTTTATCTCAACAAATTAATTTTTAATATAATATCAGGAGATCTTTCATAATCCCTAAGTCAACTGACGCGTCCTTAAGAATTCCGCTAATAAAACGCTTCCGCTTGTGCCTTAGATCCAACCTCCAGCGCGGGCACACCTGGGCACGCGTCAATATGACATATCGTCCTATTTTGAAGCCACATGTTAAAGTCATTACTCCTCATTACATGTCTGCTTTCCATGTGTCCTTTGTTTTAATCGTTTTTGCGTTCGTGCCAACATTGGGAAATATATTTCCATTTACATTTTCTTCTCGAGTAGCGGATATCGTACTGTATTCTTGTCTTGCCTCTGGAAGTTATAGTGGTGTCCTCTAAATAATTTAAAAGTTTCGGAAGTTACACTTAACTTAGACTTATTTAAAAAGCTACTAGCGTCCTATTTCTTCAGGATTAGTTTTAACTTGAATATTAATTAATACATTAACTTGTTTATTAATATTAACTTTTATTAGATGTGATTTAATAGAAGATTTGTTTTAACACAGTTTATAAAGGTTGAAGAAAGCAGAGACAAATGAGATTTAGCTGTGTGTTAGTCCGTCTGTATGTTACCAGGCTATAACTCGAGAACTATCGTATTTTTACAAATTGTATATTTGTGTTACCACTACAATAAAAACATAGAATAAATACTTATATATACTATTCATTTATGATTACGCAGATTTCGAACACGGAACCTCACGCGCACAACAAGGAAACCATTGATGGATAAAAATAAAAAGTTTCATAGCAAGGTAATGATGAAATTGCTTTTTCCAAGTGATTGAATACATTCGAGAGTCATTTAAGAGTATTAACTCATCAAAGACGAATCTGTACAATCCTTTCACACTAATCCATAGACTAAACTGTTATTCATTGATATATGAAGATTGAAATGAATTGGCTCTTTTTTATATTTTCTTGTTTACTCTAGAGACTAATATCGTAATATACACTATACGTTAATCGGCATTTGCTGCTGTTGCTCTAACCCATTGAACGAACTTTTTTTCGAAAATGTCTAAACTCCATTTTTAATTTATATAATGCCGTCATGTGCAGTACATGTGAAAAATAATAAAGTCTTCAGTCGAACTCTTCACAAAACTTCTCTTTATAACAGAGAAATGACTAAATATTATATTTATTAGAATATCGAAAATCGAAATATCTGAAACTGTACTATTTCTATCGTAGCAATAGTAAAACGTTACGTAGCTGCGTAACGCCAGACCGTAGCATGGTCTCGTAGCACGGCGTAGAGGGTAAAACAATTTCGTAGCTTGTATATTTAACCGATCAAGAAGCCTGATCGAATAAATCGTTGACGCGAATCCTGAAGCGGTTGTTTGTAGGTATTTCTTACTACATACAGATTACTACTTATGTTTGACTCGCCGTTCTCATCGCCAGTCGCTTTTGTTACATACGCTACACGCGTAGTTGTCCAAAGCCAATTTCCTCAAGTTCCAAAACCACGAAAAGTCTTATATATAGTAAGGACTACCTTCCCAGAAAGGTATAAAACCGGCGCGGCGCTGCGACGCAGGGGATTGCACGGTTGTCATTCGTCGAGGGAACATCGTTCAAAGACTCATAAGTGTCCGTGTTTAAGTGGGTAGATTTAAAATAATTGCCATTTGTTTTTATTTTATTTTATTTTTATCAAGTTACCTAAATATAGTTTACAATTCATCGCACTGTAATTACGATTAATAAGAACTAAGAAACGAATTTATACAATATATATTATTATAAAATGTTAATATGAGGAAAAATATACCAAAAGCAGTCAAAAATGATAGCTGTAATATGAATATTATAACCAATTATATTTAAGATTAAATGACAACACAATATGTCCGAATTGCGAAAATTTTTAGTCGTAAATATTGATAAATCCTTTCATTGTTGAGAAAAATCTCAAGATATACTAAGCAAGTCTCCGTAGACCTCATAGCACATAGAAGACCAATCTAGAAGTAGAAACTTACCTGCAAGAAGAGAGTGAAGGCGACCCACTGGTAGTACTTCCCGTAGCGCCGAGGCGAGTTACCGGAGCCCCGAACACCTGGATAGGCCCCGGCCTCGCCTGCCACGGTAAACGTGGAGTGTATCCAACAGTAGGTGTTCAATACGTCTTCCGGTATATCCCTGAGAAGGATATTTAATAAAATAAAAATATATATAAGACACTAAAAGTAGTTCTTTGAAGAATGTATCTGTAAGAGCAAAGTTTTTGCACTAAATTTTTTTACCTTCCTGTCACCTTTTCTTTGTCTACTAATCTCTTGAAAGTTTTATTATATTTATAGAAAGTAGTGTGGGTTTATTTCACGGTTAGTCTTTTATTTTATCCGGATCTAGATAGGCAATATAGAATAGTAAGTATAAATAAATAAAAAAGTATTTTTAATGTTTTTATAAATTATGATCTTAAATTATTTTATAAATGCGAAAATCAAAGATACCAGCGGGCACTTTATTTCATCTTAAAGTGATGACGTAAAGAGGAAATATTATTAGTAATCTAAATAATCATATTTCGTATAGCTTGTTGTCTAATAATTTAACAAAAAGTAGTATGTAGACCGGGAAAACATAAAATTTATTTTGGCAACAGTTATTCATGAAATTCAAATTTTCAAGTAACGTATTATTGAGATCTCAATTTTCAAAAATTAGACGAATGATTGGAGTTTGTTAAAAACAACGTTTATACAGTTGTAACCAAAGGAGTTCTATAACAAAAAGGTTTTACAACTCAATAACCTTAAAATGTTTTATTATCGTACATCGATCGTTAAACCGATTTAAAACATAATATCTAAATTATTGATACGCCATAACATTATTTATTAGCTATTGAACGGAAGCTTTCATTCGTGGAATATGTTTCTCCCCTGAGTTTTCGTCATATGTGAGTCGTATAGACGAAATTATGTTGATGAGAAATTGAAGAATTACTGTAGTAATAATTATATAATGGAAAATTAACAACTCTCTTTTAACACATGACTTCCTGGGATTTTAAATGAGTGCGAATCAAGGCTTTGTACGATGCGGACACGCTATTATACCGTATTGTCTGCGCATTTTTAAACATTTAGTATTAATTATAATAGGATTTTTCCGGATAACTAGATCTTTCATTGAATATTTTTTAATATCACGCCATCTATTATTTTACTGCGGAACTAAACTCTGCACCATCGCTTGCACTATTGTCACTCACCTTGTATGTATGCAGTCTATAGGGTTGCCCACTAGATGGCGTGTAGTTAGAGCTGCACTGGCTGCAAGCAATGCAGCTGTCGTGGCTCCACAGTGGAGACGAAACGCTATCGAGTCGATCTTGGGGTTAACTCCTTGCTGAAATAAAAAGATCATGAGATCTAAGCCATCTAGCGGTAACGCAGGTCACTAGAGTAACAAATAAGAGAAGAGTTCTCAGTCGCAATTAAAATAGTTCAGAAATATATTAAATTTGATTTTTAGCCATGAATAGAAAATAATCGTTGGCTTCCTTGTTTAATATCGTTTTCGTTAATTACGTCACGGGCATAGCTAGTTAATAACGAGTTTGTTTGTTTTAACGCGCTAATCTCATGAACTACTGGTTTAATAAAAAAAAATACATTTCTGTGTTAGTAGGACCATTTATCGAGAAAGGCTGTACGCTTTAGCTACTAAAACATCAGACTGGGACTAATTAATATAAGAGTGAAGAAACATAGGGCAATGTGATATTACAACGATGAATCCAAATCTACACATCAAAAATAAACACAATATACAAAAATAATTAAAAGTAGTTCCTAAGATTAGGGCGTTCAAAGAAACTCTTCAGCTTTAAAATATTAGTGTAAATGAGTCATAGAGCCTGCATTGAAACATAAAGTAAGTAAGGCGGCATTCGCGATAGGACAAATGTATAATTGGCATTCAAATTTTATTTATTAATCTTCGTTATCATGAAAGAGGACAATATTTCGGCTCATTTGATGGAAGATAAATTTCCGAATAGTGTAACGAGTAATCTAGAGTTTCAGTCGACCTATTATAGGATTGGATAATCGGAAAATTCTCTTCGGAAAAATTACGAGCAAGATTTGAACCGACATCCTCAGTTATCTTACACGTTATCGTCGTTTTTCAATCTAACTGTACATGCAACCCTCGCGTTTCAACTTATAACCGATTTTTAGGTATATAGTGCCAACATGTGCAAATAACATGTGAAAAATGTTAAAGTTCTCAATGCACGATTAGTTCTAAGTCACTACTTGCCTGTATGTTTCAATGAAGGTCACTATCAGTAAAACGGACACACAAATGCAACATGCCCCATACGGGGGACACGAGTTATGTAACATAAGTTGTGACAAATGTCTATCGTAGAAAGCAATCTTAGCTTTTCAAAAATGCAACTGCATTATAGTAAGCCGAATTAGGTTGACCAACCCCGAAAATCTCGAGAGACAATAGCGGACAACAATTACTGTCCTTGACATTTTTTAATATTTGATCGGTCTGGTTACCAGCGTTTGACCCGAGGTTTAATAGTAAAACCGGACCAGGGCATTTAAATCGAGAGTCTTCTAAATGGTTGACGTTGGTAGAGTTCATTGTAGTGGTAAACATGAAAATATTATTAAGTCGAATTGAAATAAGATGTATTTATGATATATTTGTCGGTTATTATGCTTTAATTTGCGTAGTTTGTTTTATTTTCACACAATTACATAATTTAGTCGCACACGCAAGCACAAACTAAATTATTTTTAAAATACGGGAAAAATAGTATTTATATCCCTATTTCAAGCGATGGACAGCGGACATATTAATTAAATACCATATTATTGATTAAATATCTTGTATATAGATATATACAGATGTATAACTTGTGTATATGTATTCTAAATAAAACATTATATCAAAGCAACTGTGTTTTTCCTAAAACGATCATTTTTTCTTTAGCCACGGATGATTTAGGTAATGTTCATGCGTGTGTATTCTTGCCATGACATGAAGATGCAATGGAAGAAGAAGAATACTAACCCCTCCAGCGAGTAGCGCGTAGATGCTGGTGAGGATCTCCATGGGCCTGCGCGGGTGTGCAGCGCGCTCACGCCGCCTCCACGCGCCGCCCCCGCCCCGCGCGCCCCCCACTCCGCGCCCGCGGCGCCCCCACGCAACACCTGACTCTCTGTCACACACACAATTACACACATTTAATTACAAATAACCATTTGCCCTACAATAGTTTCTATGGTATTTTCTGGTACGATTACTTTTACACGTACCATTATACGAGAAAACATTTAACTCACTGCGTTAACAAAAAGCAATGTTACAGAGTACATCAGAACTTCTCTATTCCATTCCCAAGTTGATAATACGCAGCTTATACATATCAATATAACTTTAATGTTACAATTACGGTGCTAAGCCAGCGCAGGCATTCCGAGATATAAAGTTAAGTTTTAGAGAAACAAAAGCCACATATGCATTAATATTTAATCAGACCAAAGATTATTATGTAAAAAACCTTATTATTAAGTGAACATGCAACTAGTTACTAAAAGAAGCAGTACCACGTAAATTTTATAACATATAGATTAGTGATTTGAGATATTAAAAAATAAGTATATGGTTTCAATAAATGCTTACCGAATAAAAATGGAAAATGCAAGATGGAAAAATCTAAAAAATCTCTACCAAATATAAGCGCGCGTAGATTTGCCGCCGCCCGAGCTAAGACTCAATGAAAACTAAAACATAGAAACCAGAACAGACAGATTCACAGTAAATATATTTTATCAACCGACGAAACATTTCTTCTCAACACGACAGTCAAACGTAAATTAATTAGACGACCGTTACAATAAAATAATTATATATATCCGCGATAATTTCAAAACGAACGCACCGTTAACCTCTTGATGTATAGGTTGGCACAGTTAACAGTTTAAAAAATGATAAACGCATTTCTAAAATTTCACAGAACATCGATTTGCTCATTTGCTTTACGACTTACGAGGAAAAATCGAATTTGGACACCCTCCAAACTGTCCACGTTGCTTTGATAAACGAATTTCGAAATGCCCTAGGTCATTTACGCCCTATTAAATAAATCACGATTTCGTTGTTTACTATAACGTAGACGTATGTTCCGAAAAGGGGTCAGGGCCACAATGTTGCACCCAGTCAGGTACCGTTCGACTTTCTTTCGAAACTCTTCCATTTATAACAGATTGACGTCTGAAGACTGAGAAAACACGAAGCGACGCTGGGTTTACATTGAAAAATTAACACAATCCCCATTTAACGGATATTTACATAAATAAAGATGGCTGATGCTGTCAAAAGCTGCCCACGTGTCAGAGATTGACGGCGAAACAACTGCGTCGGTTTGTTTAGAAAAATCTCTTTGTCCGCTTGCGATAACTGGTGATTCAACAATATATTTGGAACTCGGTCAAATGTCTGCCGATGAGTACGTCCTGATGCTGTTTATTTAAGAGCTTTAATGGGCAATTATCACGTTCTTTGAAAGTCAAGTAAACTCGTTAGGTATGAGCTATTGTGGTCGCTCTAGATTTTTTTTTTGTGCACTTCATTTAATTCTACAGATCAACACAAATAGTCAGTTTTATTTTATATATTATTTATTATTCTAATTATATTCTACATTAAATCCCTATTAACTTCAAAATTTTTTTAACATCATTGATAATTTGTGATATTAGATTCATTCGACCCGACCGTCTATCGAATGGTCTGCTATGATTATCAACTTACCTCGAAATTACACATGTTTCGATTAACGTTGGGCCTTGAACTAGAAATAATTCGCTAATGAGCAACCTGCTAAAAATACAATTTCACCTTTAAGCATCGGGTATATTCATACGTGATGTTAGATTTTTTCACCTGCATTTATTTTAACGTACTATATGGGTCAATAATTTATCTTTCTCAATTCATTTGTTCCGGAAGTTTCAAATTATACGCTGTTTGTTATCTTTTTGCCTTAGAATCAAAATTAGACGAAAATGAAGAGACTGCGTATTTGAATCTAAGGAAAATGATTTTCCCTTTTTTTTATTAGATTAGATAATGATGAATGACAGCTTTGTATTTATTTATGAAACAAAATATTAGTTAGCTGAAATTTATTATACATCGATACAATAAACTATAATATAAAGAGATATTGTTTTATCTCCGTATAGGAAACGATGAAACCTTGCATGTACTAAGTTCAATAAGATCTCATTTAGTCTCCAACATTTTAGGACCACAATAATACTTCAGCACTTCTTCTGGATTTGCTCACACATAACATGTGTAACTCTTGAATTGATACAATTTGTATGCTGGGTACTAATTATAATTCCCGTGTTTTTTGTAATTATTGTAGAGAATCTTTGATATTGTGTTCGTGTAACTACTTTTCTAAGTACGGGACTGTTAATTAAAACATTACCTCTAAAATAAAATACCAGATATTTTAAACATTTAATTTTCATTTGTACAAAATACTTAATGTGTATACATAGTAAAAGTGTTATAAATTTTAAATAATATAAAAGTATAAGATTAGATTATAAGCTGCAGAGATAGTGTCATAAGCGAATATTGTATAACAGCCAAAGATTTCAGAAGTGTAGAGAGAGTTTGTTAGTTCAGATATTGAGAGCTCAATATCGCATGCATGTTTCGGCGGCATGACAAGAAAGAAAATCACCTGCGACTACTGAATCTCTGTGCGCGGACTCCTGCGTCGGGGCGCCCTCCGGACGTCTTTCCCATCGGGTGGTTGTCGCGCAACTGACAGCTTAGCGGCTATCCACGCTCAAAGCGCGCATGCGTCGCCATCTAGCGAGTACCTACGACAACTAAACAAACGCACGGTTTTATGCGGGTAGTTTCACTGTACGGACGCATCAAACGCGAACGTCACGTTGACCCAAAGCGTAATGAATTTTGATGCGATCTTCGAAAATCCGTGATGGCACAAATGCTTGGTAGTTTAGGTTTCGACCGAAAACACGACACCGCCTTTTTACGAGTGCATTGATTAGATATTGCCCCGCTACATATGGCTTGGCATGTATTCTTTAAGAACTAACATATTACTTTTTACGTTAAGTAAACTATGAAACAATTTTAGTCATAAATTGCTTTTTTTTCACCGCACCTTAAAACCTCCACAACGTGATAAAATATGTATGATGGTATTTAATCTGCACATAACTTTTTAAATATAAAGTATCTTAGTGTAATAATGTACTGTAGTAAGATTAGTTTAAAATATAAAAATATGCACTATTTTATAATGTATGTGGTGTTAGCCTCTAATACATAGTTAGATTTCGATTTGTTGTTTTTTTTAAATATTTTATTGGTAACTAAAGAACTGTAACTCTTGTGATATTTTCTTCAATATGTTATCGTATATGTAAAACATACATTTCTTATAGGACAAACAATTTTCGTGGAAATTGATTAATTTTCGACTTGTCAAATAAAGTAGTGCATTAAAATATATTATCTAATAATTACAATTTAAGGTTTACTATGTAAAAGTTTGATCCTTTACATAATAAACCTTACGCATAAATTGTGCGTGAAAGTTTCGTGATAAGGAATCGTGTTAAAGTGCTGCTTAAGAAGATGTTGGTCTGTATTACTTATTTATGTTCGTACTATGACTCGTCACAAGTTACAATAATGTAGTGAACAGACAAACGCAATATAATATTTAAATATATCGTAAGTTTTATAAACATAGCTTCTATCGTGTAGACTATGTCAAAAAATCTACATAACTTACTACGGTTACTCCGTTTCACCGTAAACGACGTACAGACAAACGCGACATATCAGACGTTGCGGGAGAAAATAGTTGCCTAAATCGATAGCAACCTTCACAGCTGTTTGGCGCAGGGATTAGCACACATTGAATAGATGTAAGCCTCTTGAGCTGTCTTTTGATATATGAAACTTTCTTTTTCAATGTATTTCTGAGACCAACTTTTTTTACAGCTGCTGCCGGCATATGTTTTAGTACAATTCGAATCGAAAGCCTATTCAAATTCGAATCGAATACAATTAAAATAATTTTGAAACTAATTGCGATAATTTATTAATTCATACCAAATAAAAAACATGATTATGTTTAGTGTGTAAACTAACTAGTCATAATAGGTAGTATCGTTTGTAGTTTTCCTTTAATAAATTCCTTTCACGCGAAATTAATATTAACTACGACCGAAGTTTCGTATGCTTTACTGCAATCATCTGTACAGAAGCAGCAGTGACTAAAGCAGTTAAACTAAGATATAATAATAATAAATGTACCAATATATGTCATTCATAAACTTCACTGTGTTTTTTTATGAGGAGGACAGACAAAGTGAAATACTCCACCCATAAAACATCTAAACAAGATTCACTGTCAACCGATTTTCACTTTGGATATTCGGAAATAAACTGGTTCTATAAGTGGTTTGATCATTATTATATATAATAACTAAATACTTTTAAAATAAGAAAGAATGTTACGGTTGAAATAGTTATTTTACTTCTAAAATTCAATTTGTCATTTAGTTTGAACACGTATTTTGTAGCAACAATCTTGCTCGAATATAATGACAATATTATTCATTCAATAAACCAAATAAAACAGTTAAAGAGTCCAAAATAAGGCCAAACAAATTTTATTTTTCAAAATGTCTGTCGGACACGTAGCGGGGATCATATTTTTATTCATCCCGACTTTTATACTAGGGTTTTATGAACCATGAATAACGTATTTTGGGATAAGGAAAACTTTTATAGCGACATATTCAAATGAAACATTTTAATTCAACAATATAAGTAAACAGATGTTCTATGTTGTTATGTTGTCCGAGTACAAAAATATTAAATACTTTGAGCATTTTGTAATTTATAACAAACAAATATGGTGCATTTCAATCTTGGGGTTAATTATAGAGGACAGCAGACAACCATGGAGTTCACTTCATGGTAGGTGATATACTCCAGCCTATAGCGCCTAAGCAAGATGTGCCGTCGACCTATTTTGGCTTGGATATTTGGACATCTACAGATTGAAACCGAAATGCGATTAAGTTTCATGGCTTTTATGTGACCCGGACGTCCGGACCCGACATTTAACGTCCAAATTTCCAGACGAAGTCTAACATGTTTTGGATAAATTATAAATTGATTAAACATCTTGAACATTGCTACCATAATACCAAGGAGCCCTTAGATTAACGTAGGTACGTTTAATTTAATTAATAATTGTAAATTATAAAATGCTTTAGTTCTCTTCGTTATGAAATACCAATAATTGTAACAAAACAAACAGACACGTTCAATTTATATTTTAGCTAATGCATTCCATTAAGTTTAAACCGTTAGGCCTAATGGAATTTCTAGTATTTCAAACAATATCAGCTTTCATTCAAACAATAGGAGCGTTATATAACCATATGTATGTATATATACTCCGTTATTTAACAAAATATAGAAATAATACTACGTAAGTACTCCACACTCTATAAATTATTCTCTGTGAGACCGGGAAACTTAAGAGAATATTGAGCTTAAACTAACAAAGCAGTGTTTCATCCCTATGCCGTTGATACACAAATATTTTGGTGCAAGACCGAGAATCGAACTGTCGGCTTCACGGTACGAAAGTTGGTTACGATAGAAGCACTATTCGCCAGCCTTTCTTTTTCGTAATAATATTGATGTAATAATCATTTTTTAAATCAAACGCTTTAACGGTTTAAAACGCGATAAATATGATTTAAACTTATTAGAAAGTTATTTTCCGACGTTTCAGGTGCCTTGCAGTATGTAAATAAAACTTTATTCAAATGTGTTCTACTCGCGTAAACTACAGCCAGTATTTGATATATTTTTTTCGTGAACCAGCAATAACGAGCAACGCCGTATGCTTAACTAAACTACTTAATAGTACGTAGTATAAAAAAAGGATCAAGCTACATTAGCAAGAGCCTATGCTAAGCGCAAGAGTTATAGTTTCTCAAGACACAAAACGGAATTCCATTTTGAAAACGCCTGTCGAAAAGTACTCGGGAAATTCCGGAAATTGAATCCGTCCCGATATTTGCGGATAACGTTGAATTTCGTACGCCGCGGACCGTATCGTTCTCGATTCGAGCATTTTCTACATATTGAAAAATATTTACGTACAATATAAATTTTTCCAGAATTTATTTCGACACTAGACCGTGTAAGCCATGCACACTTCAACAAAGAGAATAACAAGTAGGTACATATTTATATGTATAATGGATGATGGTGTCAAATCTCGTGTTCTCTACCTGACTGACCGATCTTTCTTCGGGCTCTGAAACCAGACCTCTCATGCTGAGAGCAGTGTATTCATATTTATTTACTAATTACATAATATAGATTATATTCTACTTGTCTCTTGTATCTACTTTATCTGTCGCGTTCGGCTCGTATTTGAAAATGTCTAGTACTAAATAAGTCAAATTAAACTTATGAATAATTTGAGTATTGTCTGTATTTTATGCGAGTAGTACACATTTAAATTTGAACTAACGTCGGGTCGAAGTTAAAATCAATTAAAAGTTAAATAACCTAGCATGCTTCGCATTTAAACCCGATAAAAGTGTATTATTTAAATAACTTATTATTAAGTAAATTGTTTAATAACCCCTTTCGAAGCCGTTAGTTATTAAAAGCATGGAGTTCGATTTTTTTACGTAAATCATTCCGTTTCTGCTTATGTCTTTTTAATTATTGGTACGATAGATATCACTTGAAATGCCTGTTTAATACGTTCCTTTAAAAACCTAATAATAGGTTATATATCCTGTTTATTCGGAAATAAAAAGGATACTTTTTATATTGCGAACTGTCCTTACATCAAAGTTATATAATATTTCTTTCAAAATGTTTACCAATAATGAATTGTAGTTACTATTATAAAAGTAAATAAATTTAACCGACATTTTTCCCTTTTAAGTTGTATTAAAATAATTTAAAAATTAATCCGTCTGATAGACATACAGAGCAGCTACTTATAGATAAGTGCCAGCATTTATTACTTAAGTGAATATAATCTTAAAAGGAAACTGTGAAAAGTTCCATTAGAACGGAAAAAAACATTTTCAAATGAGAAAAGTAGGACGAAAAACTTTATTGAAAAATCGCGTGTCTAAGTTGTTTTTTCACCGTCAAACAAAAACGAGTACCAGGCGAATATAAACGAACGGAGCTTAGCAGACAGCATATTGCAGTACAGCAATCTAACTTTACAACCTGCGATTTATTGCAATCGGCACGGATCCGAGACGATCACGATATTTTATGTACAAATTTCATTTGTCATTCCGCACGGAAATCGTAAATAAATCCAGGAACGTCGCGGAAACCTAGGATTACATTTGGACATTTTATTTATTCGATCGGTGCACGGAATTAATGCCTAACGCCGAATTTTAAACTTTCTTCCCCTTATAAGACTATAATAGTTTCGTTATAACTCGTTATAAAGTTTATTTTAAAAGCGATACTTATTTTTTTGGATACAACTTTGGGCGTGTCTGTAGTTTTTAACGGTTTAATACGCGAAGTTAACTAATAAATTTAGCTGTTCAAACCGTTAAATTGTTCTATTTAAATTTTGGTACATGTCTCTTTATTTAACACAAAGTACATCTAAGTACTAGCCTTGACCATGTCAGGTCGTTGTTGAAATTAAATAAACAAATATTTATCCATTAAGAGTGTTATTTTTAATAGTCTTTTATAGAATCGTCAAGGATTACTTAAACCGATCTCATTTGAATTAATAATTAAATTACAAGCCAGCGTTACTTAACGAAACGATTTGTACAATTATTTAACAGGTGAAAAATACGTTACGTATTTTCGTAGAAATATATACATAAAATGTAAATGTGTGTGTGTGTGTGTGTTTAATTTAAATGTTCTCAATGAATTGATATGATAAAAAGTTACTTCAAAATGCCTGAACAAATTTTGATAATTACCAACTTAAATCGTGTAATTTCTACTTCAAATTCGTCTAAACAATGCGCAGAGAAAAAATAAATATGGGAAATCCTTCGTCCTATCTGTCTCTGTTACCAGGATATTATAAGTGCCCCATTCAACGCTCCCTCGAACAGGCCTTTTCTGAATTCGCCCCAACAAGGCTCCAGGCAATTCAGGAGCTATTAGCGTGCTCTCGACCGCAACGGAAACATAACCTCAAAATTTCACAAAACATTCCGAAACCGAGAACGCAATGACGACATAAAAACAATCACATTTTATTATATCGCTCAATTTTCGTCTTATAATTTCGTTGCGAAGGGTGAGTTCACATTTGCTTACATTTTCCTAAAATAAAGCTTCGAATACACTTTGGCTTGTAAAGAAGGAAACAAGCGTATCACATAACTCTAAAAAAGTTGTTTTTCCTAACTAGATAACCCAGAATGCTGTGGTCCTGGGTAGGGGATACGGACATTAATTAAAATTTTAAAAAAAGTATGTAGATTACTTTATATAATTTCATTAACAGTTGTTAAAGTGTTTTATTTAAATATTTATGCTTAGTTTTTAAACTTAAAATGCTATATATATATTAGTTAAACCTTTTTTGACTTTTTTACAAATATATATCGCGTTTAAAACCGTTAAAGTGTTTGATTAAAAGTGTACTACTCGCGTAAACTAGAGACAGAATTTAATATTTCTAAAAATCTTTTTCTAATTATTGAAATAAGAATATCATATATATTGTTATCTGTGATTAAAGAAAAATTACACAGACGATATGATTGTAAACTTGATGATTGATGTGAAAAATGTTAAACTTTACCATCATATATTATGAATATTATTACGCTTATAAAAAAGTATGTACTATTTTATAAGCGTAATATTCTATTTCCCTATATTTTGTGTCTTTTTATGGTGGAAATTATTAAATTCCCCCCGGCATTCGAACCTAGGATCATGCGTATTGTAATTAAGCCATAGATGACTTACACTTGTATTCTTTATACATTTGAAAAGGGGGAAATTTTAGTAGCATTAATTAATAAAAAAAAACATTTTCCTACGTAATTTATCTATTACCAATCTAACCGGCATGCATACACACCCTAATCCATGCATTTTTAAACGTATAGAGTAGATATTTGGTGCAATTTCGCGAACATTCTATATTCCGTGTGTGTAAAATAAAATGTATTTATGTTTGTAAAGTGAATATCGCAGCTGCAATGCCCTCAATTTGTTTTATAGTTTTGCTGGCAATTTTCACAAACGTTCGCGGGAATACACAAGAGGTTACTTTTTACTTTAAAAAAAACTAAAAGGCGGTTAACCAATTTTTTTGGCTGATGTTAACAAAATTTTATATTAGCAAATGACAATATTGTAGTATTTCGTATACAAAGACTAGAATATGACTTTTTTTATTTTTAACGTGCTCATTATACACGGTTAGGTAGGTTGAGAGCCGAGGAATTTTGGAAATGTATTTTTGTAGGCAATGCATAAAAATTAATAAGAAATTACATAATTGTTTAAACAAAATAACATTTCGGATGCTTTGCAGCAGCAGCACAGTGACCACGTATAGTGCCGATATAAGCATCCGAAAGTCGGGCCATAGTTACAATAAACTAACTAGAATTTTTCACGTTGTAACGGTTTAAAAGTGTTTAATTTATTAAATCACAGATAATACAATTGCGTGAACTTCTTTATAAGATTAAAATAAATTAATACAGATAATAAACATTCAAGTTTAGAATTCTAAAACATATTGTAATGTTTCTTTTACTGAGCTTCTATTGATATTATCTGTAAATTTTGAACTAAAACACTTATACTCTATTTCTGATATTTTAAACTGTATAGTCTGTAACCGCAATCGAGCAAAGCCAAATGAAATGTCTAGTTTACATAAACCGAGCTAAGACAAATGCACCCACAAAGACGCTTTGAGAACTGAGTGAAACGTCAACCGTTTTGGCGGGAAAGATAACATGTCCATTTGTAGTCTTTATGTGTAGTATATCTCGTACGAGCTTTATATTTCTAGAAGAAATAGTTTTACAGGTGCTTTTATATTGACAAAATTTAAAATCTCTTTGATGCATATTTTATTAGTTACTAAGAAGCTATTATAAAAAGAACTAGTAACAAAAGATCAAAACTAAGGCTGATTTAGGACGCAAACAAATCTCTATTTATCATATGTCAAAAAAAGACTAATGCCGTCTTAAACGAAAAATCCAATTCCTTGGTTATGTTCTAGTAATATTAAGCAAGTGAGAATGGTGTTGGCCTTCTGGTCCACTCGTATACTCTTAGGGCTGCGAGTTCGATGTTTGGACGTTAAGCAAAATTGTCTTTGTGTATCTCTCTATAAATATGCATTTATGCATTACAGAAGTATTTCCAAGAAAATCGGCGACTAGCAAAATCTATAGTAGAGGCCTTGCAAGACTCAAAATTTGACGAAGAACTGCTCTTCGATCTGAAAAAGGAGAACCAAGTCTACTTGAACAGGACCATGTCCCTACTCATAAAGTATATAGTCAAAAGGTAAATAAAGTGAAAGGTAAATTGACAATTACTGTAAAATGTCCATGTAATATTGTAAATGTTATTAGAATGTTTAAAATTCAGCTTACGACATACTGTGAACTGCTGCAATTGCTGCTTACAAATAAAAAAAGAGTATGGCTTATATTAAGAAAATCATCAAAGATAAAATAATAAAACTTTTTTCTTTACAGGGAGGTAGATAACTACAGATCACGCAGAACAGACGCCATCAGTCGGAAAATCTACTCTTCTCTTGTGATGAAATTAATAGATATTGCGAAGGTAATATTATGTAAATGACAGATTATTTTCCGTTGTTACTTCTATATATTTTATATTTATACAAATTTCAGGATAAAAACCAAGAATGTGTTTAACAATCTTGGTTTTTATCCGGAATATTAGATACGGTTTTTCTTATTTAAGTAATGCGATTTCTCGATTTATTTTTTGGGGACACACTTTCTGATATTAAGCCGGCTGACAGTCCACATTATCTGCTAACCATTTAACCCATTTTTCTAGTTCTGCGGAGGACCTTGGGTTATCTAACTCCCACTTTTCTATTTTATCGGTTCCCATATATTGTCTCTTTCTAAGGATTTACCGAAAAACTCGAGTGCAGCCAGCCGCATTGACACAGCTCACAGATATTACATGACCGTTGAGAGCAAGGATATGCACGATCAGATGGCTGATGTCCAGGTCTTCCACGCGTGTGCCAGATTGTATGACATTATGTTTACTGTGAGCTTACACTTTTTATTTAAGTTTTATTAGTCCGTTACTAGCTGAAAACAAATTTTCCTATATTGACATTCTTACTAAACCTTATTGGTTATTTTATTTCTTAAATTTTTTTTTTCTTTTGTTTGTATCTTATAAAAAAGAGAAGTGAAGAGAAGAGAAGTTTTTGAATCAAATCTCGTTGATGCAATACTTTAGGGCTAATAATCAATTGGTCCAACATATTTTCAATAAATTTATGGTGTTTTGAAACGTGTTGGACTTCGTCTGGTAATCTTGATATTGAATGGATAGCAGGAATATTAATTCGTCCGAGTCACAAACCACTGTCCACAGATGAAAAAGCCGGCAAGTTTAATGGCACTTCGATTTCAGACGGTGGATTTATATAAATAGCCAAAAAAGGTCGACAGCGCATCGTATTAATGTTATATGATTGGGGTATTTCACCTTTTATCAAACCCCATGTTTGTCTGCCCTGCTTTATCAAAAAATAGATTTAAAATACTGTCATCAGTAATCACCTCTATTTTTTTCAGGCACCAAGAATACTCTCACAACTGGGAGCTCTGGATGACTTAACCCCAAGAATACTCATACGAAAACTTAAGGAAATGGAAATTAAGCCAGTACATCTGGGTGTTACTTTACTGATCCAGGTGCTTTTTACACTTCTAGTATTATATGTCTTTAAGTATAGCAAAAGTAACTAGGAACAAACGTAGAACTTCATAAGTTTGCTCGTTAACTTGAATCAAGTACAATATTGGAACGGAAAATGTTAACGCAGTCGTAGATAAGTGTTGGTGAAGCGTTTTCACAGTTTTCCAAGTATTTTCTAATACCTGCACTAATATATAAAGCTGAAGAGTTTGTTTCTTTGGCCGCGCTAATCTCAGAAACGACTAGTTGGTATTCTTTAACAATCTATGAATATAACTTGAATCAGACGTACTACTCTCATAGAGGACAGACAAGCATAGAGTTCACTCGATGGTAGGTAAAATATCCCAGCCATATAACATCTTGACACGATGCGCTGTTGACCTTTTTGAGCTTTGGAATTTCGTAAACCGAAAAGTGGGTATACATGCCGACTTTTTCATCTGTGGACGGTAGTTCGTGATCCAGTCAGAATTTTCGTTATTCCTACCACCTATTTAAGATCCAGATTTCCAGACGTAGTTTAACGTCTAACGGAACTTATAAATTGATTAGAAAAATGTTGGACCCACTTAGGTTCGAATCCAAGACCCGTTGATTATTAGCCCTACATTGCTACCATTACACCAAAGCATCTGTCAAAAGTTCGTTGGGTCTATCTTTAAATTACTTTACATAATTTATATTCAGCTATCTTATTTGAAGTGTTTTATTTTAGTATTTATCAGTCACGGTTTAAATTCCCCTTATCCTGTGTTATTTTAGTTCCACCTCCGCAACGCGATAAACTTCGCTCTCCACTCAAAGGCCCTCGAAGTATTGTCTACAAGACCTCAAGAAGTCGGTCCCCAAGTGATCGAGCTGCTCAAAGACCTGGCTGCTCGCCTGCTACCAATAGCTGAACTCGTAGACGTTCATCTCGCACATTCTAGTCCAGCTTTCAAAGACACTTGTCCAGCCACTTGGTTGGGTATTGTTAATAATAAAAATCCTTGATTGCTGTTGTTTTAATTCATTGAAGTCAAATATAAATTTTATTTTAATGTTGTTAGAAATTTTGAACCAATTTCCATAAATAGTTCAGACGAGGTTTAAATGGAAATAAAACAGACTTCGCACATATACAGATAACTATTTAATAATTGTTTTGTAAGCGTAGAAATATTCTAGTGACCAACTATGCAAATATTTTATTCTAATTGGGCAATAACTTACTTTTTTGCTTTTTACTTAAATCATCTATAGTTTTAACATGTTAATATCACTTCAAATGTAGGTTCCACTAGTCTAATCGTTACTATAGTACGCATAACTTATGACTATGAGAAGAGGTTTTCGACGTTTAGCCATCACGTGTGGACGGCATCATCAGGAGATGTTCGCCCGAAAGACAATGATATGATATTGCAGTGGCTCAAGACGAGGCCGAAGCCCCCTTTGGGGCACCATTGGTCTAGCAGTAAAAACCTCTGGTAAGTATCAGTTATGGGACGCAGTAGAGGTTGGTAGAGTATCAGCAAGATTCTCAGTCTTATGTCTTTGAGAACATAGATATGAAACTCTGTATATAGTAAAAATAGAAGGAGAAAGAAGGAAGTAGAAAGAATATAAGATTACAGGTAAAATGAGGTTATACCTTCTCTACTTTCTCTTCTCTATTTCAGGTCTACCGGGGAGCTATGATGCGGTTTTTTATTTAATTATTCCGTATCATTATATCCACGTACGTCATCCATTGAGTGGGTTACACAAACACGTGGAGGCGAACACCTTGCTTAAAGGGCTTCATTTGTATTCTCAATCTCATTTACTTGTCAGCGTATTATACAATACAATGCTTCATTATCGAGATAACTCAGGACAATGTATACATTATAAGGGGGGTTTTCGTTTCTTATCTATGTCCTTATACAGGAGAATCATATACAGTGTAAACTCCATGTAAACTCCTAAAGCGTCGAATTCAAATTACTTTACTTGATTTAGCTTACTGTATATATTCATTGCAAGAGTAATAAAAAGTACCTTGTAAGTATCTTAATAAACACTTTAACTTTAACGATTTAAAACGTGATATACTAAATACTGTCTATATTTAACGCGAGAAGTACACATTTAATTAAAACACTTTAACGGTTTAAAACGCGATATATTAGTTAAACTTATTTGGAAATGATTTTTAACGCTAAATATGCACAACATAACGTCGGACAAAAATTGCAAACCATACGCGATAGCATATAATTATAATATGAGAATGTTTTTTGAATGAATCACTAGTCTGTTAAAATTTTATTTTTTTGTAATTCTGTGTCTTGTTTTTCTCTATTCAACGACACCTCTCTATTACACCATAACATGCAAAATCCCTTTAGTTAATACTGTATTTCAGTTAGATTTGACTATGGTGTAAGGGAAACGACGGGCACCTAAAATAGTTTTTAAATAAGTTTAACTAATCATATCGCGTTGTAAACTTAAACGGTTTAAGTGTTTTATTTATCTGTATTCTAAACGGTTTAATACGCACATATAGTTGTTAATACACACGAGACGGTGTTAGAAGTAAATTATTTTTTTTATCTGTATTGTTTTTATTCTGTAATCTTAAGAAATTTTATGGATACAATAAATCGACTAGGAGAAATAACTCTAGAAGTTGCTTATTCACAACTACAAGCAAAAAATGACAGTAATGACGATAGAGCGTTCGCAAATTCTGCGTTATCAGCCATCACCATCGCTCCACTACCATAGATCAACAAGTGCCTGATCTGATCTGACAGGGCTGAAGACCTCGTAATATTTTATTAGCAATGTAAATTTATTGACGGTAATTCGTACAGCCCCGTAAATAGTAAGGTTGTGGGTCACGAAAAGTGATGTTGTATAAGCGATACGCTTATGAAATAGAAACTTGCCTAAAAAGCGATTATTATATTACTATCAACCTTAAAGTACAAACTAACTAAAGCTTTTAACCACATTAATAATAAAACACTCACTATTAACTAACACTCTTTAATACTTTTATTTTTTATATTTTGATTTAAGTATAAGTTTTTAGGTAATTTGTTACTAGGGTCCTTTCTCGCTTGTAAAACTCTGTGTTACCTTCTAATTTTTCCTACATTTTCTAAATTATTCGCTTAAATGTCCAGTACAGTTTACTTTTATTTTATTTACTGGAACCAAAGTATATCTTTATGTAAACCAATATGTAATTTGTGAGTTAAGAATACGGACAGTATTATTAGTAGTGTGTTAACCGTAAATATTTCAATATTTTACTAATTATTAAATAATAAAAAATGCTATAACATTACTTATTTGCATATACATTGCATACAAGAAAAAGACTTTACTTGTAATATTTTCTTGTGTAACACACTTTAAGTTGTTTTATTCAATGTATTCTTAACGACACATATTGTAAGATCATTATAGAGATTGTTTGCAAAATAAATGTTATTTAATTTTTATTTGCTCAGGATGGCACGCAATTAGATGTATGTTAGCGAAGTACATCGCTATTGAAGTTTGTATTTTATTTACTACCTATAGTTAGAAAAAGTTTAACTACACTACATTACCCGCCATTCTCATGGCCCGATTACACACGATAATAATTTATGCGCGCGCGCAATGTGTTGTGGATTTACGACGTATTGCGTTTATTTTTATAGAAAACATCGTTAGTTACCACATCACATCAATTGTAGTAGCAGTTACATTGATACGATCTACTTTTGATTTCGTTTCGAGAGATAAGCAAAGGCCAAAGCATGCGTGAGTTAAATTTTAGCTAACAAGTTAAACGTGACAAAATTCGACAACACAACTTTCTGGGATAGTGTGATGGGACGCCCAAATCCCAGTTATGGGGACTACTAGTAAATAAAATAGAACGAACGAATTATAATGATAATAATATCCAATGAATTCTAAATAACCCTCTCACAATTCCTTTCAAGCTTCACAGGGTATGATAAACTAAAAGGAGATCTTCCCAATAACATAAATACAGTGGGCGAGTGCTTATCGGCAATTTTTCTCAATAAATAACCTCGCAGATTTATTAGAATCCGACTTCGAGTGAAATATTGACTCTAGATAGTAGTAGCTACTTTAATAAAATAATTCTTTTTGAATTGTCTTTATTCAAAATCTTCTATTGGTTTAATGATCTAAATAGTTACTTCTTGCAGTATAAAAACAATGTTTTACGTACATGTATTAGTTTATAAGACAATTTGAAAATAGCCGGACTGAGATTCTTGGAGGTTCTTCTCGAGGATGTTGCTATTTGGAACACTGTGTAGAATCACGACAGATAGACAGACAAACATTTCCTTTTTTTTGGCCAATCTAAGTAGTCTTTAAAATTTTAAAGAGAATAGATTATTTTTATTGAATTAAATAAAACATATTTGAAGAAAAAAGTAACCGTAGTAAGTAGTAAAATACATAAACAAAAACATCTCGCGTTTTAAACCGTTTAAACCGTAAGTTAGCAGAAACGCTCGCCATCGACATTGATTTTTTGTCTTATTTTATAAATCTTAGAGCACAGGCTCTATGGAAATTGATAAGTAAATCTTACTCTAATAAATAAGGATCATAATGCTTTAGGAGATTTGCAGGCCCCAAGTAAATCTCACTTTATGAAAAATCCAAAAGTAAGGTATCTAATCTCTACCATTTCTCTAAGACGTACTCGAGTGTTTAGTAGATCCCATTTAATGCTTTCTGGAGCTTAAAATTTTTTACCTACAGCCCTCTTGGCTTAAAGTTCATTAATGATCAACTTTGAGGAAAGAAAAACCATTGAAGACAAATTAAAACTACTTTTATCATAAAGTTGTATTACTATGGCTTGATATAGCTAAGTTATGTAATACCGTATGCACTCTGACCTGACCGAAACTATCACTTTTTTGCTGGGAATCGAACTCGGGAACCAAAGCTAGGAAATGTGTTAAACAAGATAAATAGTACCTAGAATATTAAAGCTCTCCTAAAAAATCGGTCACTTTTGTAACAATAATTCTTATTATATAGGTGACTATTGCATTTTCTTTTGATACGCAACTGTCGCTCATAATTGAAAGCAACGGTACAAACGGCTTGTAACAACCTCACTTCATTTATGATATTCTAGTACATGAGAAGGGTGACATGTGACAATGCATTGTCACCAAACGTGATAAAAATTACCCTTAGAAACAATAGGATAGATACTGCATCTTCCTAAACGCTGCTCTCCTAGTGTATTGGAACGTTTGGAAACCTGATTTGTTCCCACGGGATTGCCCAACGGGGGTGACGTGTTGCCTGAAAACATATTCATTGGTTTATGAATTCCTAATACATTCAGGGTACACACGTGACGTCCGTACTGTTACAAAGTTGCGGTGTGGTTTCTACGCTCCCCTTTTTCTTATGTGCCCCTGGTTGTTTTGGGTAACAAGTGACGTTTGCTCATCGTCAGATGAGCTTCGTTGGAGGGAGAACATTTGAAAGTCATTTATTTATTTGTTTGTTTATTATAAAGTACCGCTTCGTTAACAATATTATATAGCTGTAAGGCGCTAAGTAATGTTTAACATTAATGCTGAATAAATAAAATACTTCACCTGTGTGTGGTCTAACTTTATCAAGAAATATAAATGGCAATATAGGCAATAATCTTCCTATTACAAAACTGGTACCTCACTTCTTATCAAAATACATAAATTATTGTTATATTTTTTTTATAAATGAGAACATATAAGCTTTAACCACAAGACCTTATGAGGTCATCGCCTCTAGTAATTAAAAGATTACATAATGAAATCCTTTGTCACGAAACCCTTGCATATTCAGCAGGTGTCGTGGCGAAACGAGGTCTTAGGAAACTATAAATGCACGCATACATTTTCGACACAAAAAGTTTAACACATTTTCTGCCGTGATCCAGATAGCTGGATCCATGTTTGAAAACAATTAAGATGGCT